CATTTTCATCATAAACAAATGAACTAAAATTAATATAGGTGGTATGGAAATGAGAAGAAAAAAGAAACAAAGACAAGTCTAAGAGATGTTTGGAGGAATAGAAAGTGATTCTGTAATGATGGAAGGAGAGGGAATACTGAGTGAGAAACAAAAGCCAGACTAAATGAGGGAAAATTAAAATTTGGGATGAGAAGGAAAAGAAAAAAAAGGAGAAGAAAGAAAAATAAAAGGAAAGGATGAAAGGGAAGTAGAAGAAAGACAAAAAACAAGAAGTAAAAAAAAAATTGGCTAAGACAGCAGAATTAAAATTTGAGACACAAAAAAAAAAAAGAATAGGAGAGGGGTCCCATAAGACTGGTTATTTGAAGTGCAGAATTAGTGAAGCTCTAGAGATAACCTTGAAAAACAATGCAACAACAACTACCCTACCCACAACCAAGTAGCAAAATTTGTTGAAGGTATAGAGAGAATGTGGGTATTTTAAGAGTCAAGCAAAAGGATGTGAAATGACCCTTGACAAGAGAATTCATTTTAAGGGTCTGTTTGGGGGAGAAATAGAGAGTGTAGAGTGGAAACAAGTTGTAGCTAGACAGAAAACCAAAATCGAAATAAAAATATTGTAAGGAAAGAGGAAGGTAAAATGGACTAAGAAAAGGGATGGGCAAAATTTGTTAATTGAAATACACTGTAGTATAAAATATAGTGACTTATACAGAAACTCACTAAATAAGTAATGATGTAATAAAGCTGTGCAGCAAAGAAAATATCACAAATCATGAAGAAGACTGCAGTGGCTTTCCTCTCAGTAGTCTCTTGTATTTAGCACTGTTTTTATCTTTCTGGATCTGCCTCTTGTGATGTCAGATGTTGACTCCATCTGACCTTAGGCAGCCTGTTGGGTAGTTCCCATGATCTGCTGTCACTGGCTGTCTCCTCCAATTGTTAATCTGGTGACTCCACTCAGCAGTCAGGTTTAAGCACCATAGGGTGGGGCCAAATCCCTCCTGGGGTGGAAGCTATTGTTTCCCCTCAGGCTGCTGCTGTTTGAAGGGGAGTGGTCTGCCTGAGCAGGATGGTTTCTGTGTATGGGGGTTGGCTCAGCACTGAATCCCAGCAGCTACTTTGTCAATTTTCTACCCACAGCCTTTGTCCCCAGACTCTCCTCAAATCTCTCTAGTCCACTCTGCCCTGCCGTTTGCCAATGATCTACTGTCTCTGGCTACCTCCTTCAGTTGTTCATCTTGTAACTAGGACTCAGCAGTCAAGCTTAAGCACCAAATGGCCAGGGAAGATACCTTCCTGTGGTCAGGGCTATTGTTTCCCTTCAGGCTACTGCCACTCAGAGGGGAATGGTCTGCCTGAACACAAAGGTTGCTGCTGTCTGGGGGATGACTCAGCACCAGGATCCCTGTGGCTATTCTCTCCGCTCTCTTCTCAAGGGTTCTGTCCACAGTCTCTCCTCAGGCATCTCCAGCCCACTCTGCCCCCACCTTTGCTGGAGCCCCAAGTAAGTGGCTGCAAATGAAAATTTGTGTGTTGGCCCTTTAAATGGCCCTTACATCTCCAACTGTCTGTGTCTGGCAGACAGCAACCATACTGCTTTTTGTTGTTGGTTGTTATCCATGTACTTTTTAGGTTTTGGTGTTCTGGGCTGGGAATTCTAGCTTAGGCTTTAGACCGCAATCTTCTCCGGGAGATCCAACTGGCCACTTAATTATCTGGCTGTCACTGCCACCTGTGGGTGCCCAGCCAGACCTCTTGAGTCTCCACCACATGCCTTACCAGACAGGTTGTGCTGAAGCTGGTTCTGTATGTCCAAAGTCATATGCTACTCTCTGATTATTGCTCAGTTGTTTGTTCCAGGTGGTTTATCCACAATTGAGTTGTTATTCCAGATTGTTCCTGAGAGGAGGTCAGTGTGACTTCCATTCACTCCTCCACCATTTTCCTTCTTATAGTAAGTTTTAAATTTGGGTAGTACCATACAAATGGTATTGCATTTAAAATTTCAAATTCTACATGATCGAGTATACATGGAAAATCCTATAGACTCTACCAAAAAAACTGCTCAAACTAATTAATGAATTTGGCAAAACAGCAGGATACAAAGTCAATATCCAGAAATCAAAGGCATTTTTGTATACTAACAATGAATCAGCAGAAGCAGAAATCAAGGAAAAAATCCCATTCAACATAGCAAAAAGAAAAATAAAATATCTGGGAATAAACCTAACCAAGGAGGTAAAAGACCTGTATGCAGAAAACTACACAGCACTGAAGAAAGAAATCAGGGAAGGCACAAATAAATGGAAACATTTACCATGTTCATGGATTGGAAGAATTAACATCATGAAAATGTCCATACTACCCAAAGCAATATACAGATTCAGTGCAATCCCTATTAAAGTACCAATGGCATATTTCACAGACATAGAACAAACACTTCAAAAATTTATATCAAACCATAAATGATCCCGAATAGCAGCTGCACTTTTGAGAAAGAAGAACAAAGTAGGAGGGATCACAATACCTGATATCAAACTGTATTACAAAGCCACTATAATTTAAACAGCCTGGTACTGGCATAAAAACAGGCACATAGACCAATTGAACAGAACCAAGAGCCCAGAAATCAACCCAACTCTCTACAGTCAATTAATATTCAACAAAGGGGGCAGTAACATAAAATGGAGTAAAGATAGTCTCTTCAACAAATGGTGTTGGGAGAACTGGACAGCTACATGCAAAAAAATGAAACTTGAACACCATACACCAAAATAAATTCAAGGTGGATAAAAGACTTAAATATAAGTCGTGACACCATTAAAGTCCTAGAGAGGAACATTGGCAAGAAAATCTCAGATATTCCAGGCAGCAACATTTTTATGGATATGTCCCCTAGAGCAAGGAATATAAAGGAAAGAATAAACAAATGGGATCTCATCAAAATAAAAAGCTTCTGTGTGGTTAAAGAGAACAGTATTAAATTAGCAAGACAAGCAAATGTATGGGAAAACATATTTGCCAATGATACCACAGACAAAGGTTTAATCTCCAAAATATACAAAGAACTTACAAGACTCCACTCTAAGAAGATATCTAACCCAATTAAAAAAAATGGGAAAAGGACTTGAACAGACACTTCTCCTAGGAGGACAAACAGAAAGAATATCCAGAGACACATGAAGAGATGGCTCCATATTGTTAGCTATCAGAGAGATGCAAATTGAAACCACAATGACATACCACTTTTCACTGGTCAGGATGGCCATCATAAAGAAAGCAACAAACAACAAATGTTGGAGAGGGTGTGGGGAAAAGGGGTCCTTAATTCACTGTTGGTGGGATTGCAGACTGATACAACCATTATGGAAAACAGTATGGAATTTTCTCAGAAAAATAAAAATCCACCTGCCTTTTGGCCCAGCAATTCCACTGCTAGGATTATATCCCAAGAATCCTAAAACATCAATTTCAAAGAACCTATGCACTACAGTGTTCATAGCAGCACAATTTACAATAGCCAAGAGTTGGAAGCAACCCAGGTGCCCATCAGTAAATGAATGGATCAGAAAATGATGGTACATATACACAATGGAATTCTATGCAGCAGAGAGAAAGAAGGAGCTTCTACCCTTTGCAACAACATGGATGGAACTGGAAAGCATTATGCTGAGTGAAATAGGCCAGGCGTTGAAAGAAAAATACCATATGATCTCACCTTTAACAGGAAGCTAAACAACAAAACAAACAAGCAAACAGAACAAAAACAAAGACACTGAAATAGAGAACAAGTGGGCAGCGACCAGAGGGGAGAGGGAAGGGAATTTAAGGGGGAAAAAGGGGAGGGATTTTGAGTAACAAGTATGAAAGACACAGGGATGAGGACTAGGGAGGGAGGAAATGGGAGGCAGGTGGGGAGCACGGGGCGGGGGCGGGGGGGCTGGGATGGGAGAAATAGACAAAAAAAATGTACTTGAAAAATAACTAAATAAAATTTAAAAAATAATAAAAAAAAACAACAAAAAAACAAATTCTACATGATCATTTTTGGTATATAGAAAAGTAATTGAATTTTTTTTTATATGTTAACCTTGCATCCTGCAACTTTTCTACAATTGCTTATCACTAAATCTTTAGACACGCATTTCCTTTACTAGGGCTCACTTAAACATGAAAAGCCCCACTGACTGTCCATCTTCCAAGAACAGGGCCGGAGTGTGATCTCAGATCTCTGACATTTATGGCCTGTAATATTCATTGGTTTGAAATCAAGCCTAAGAAAATAGTTTCTCAAACTGTACTCACCAGAATCCTAGAGCTTCATGCCATTGCACATCTTCAAAGATGACTTAAGGTGGGATCAAGCATCTAGAGCTCTGAGCTTTGTATAGCATTTGAGCCAGAGTTATTAATTTTTTTCTTTATACTTTTAATATTGAAATTATTTTAGATTTACAGAACAGTTGCAAAGATAGTACAATACTTTTATCCAGTTTCCCCATTGTTAACGTATTACAGAACTATGGTACATAATTAAAAATAAAAAATTAACTAAATACTATTAACTAAATCACAGGCTTTATATGGCTTATACTGTTTTTTCCATGAATGTACTTTTTTGAGCAACTCAGTTGGGCTTAATAGAGATTTTATTTTTTTAAAAAGGGTCTGTTAGCTGCTTCTCTCCTCAGGCTTTCCCTTATCTCCACAACATAAAAATTCTCAATTACTGCTGCTTAAAAACAAAGGTGGAATAGTAGCTTCTCTTATCAATATTTCAAAGAACTTTTGCATCTATTACTTATTGAATCTTTTAATATCTTCATGAGGTCAAGGGGAATGAAGCAGATATTTTAAATTATTGTTTTGCAGATAGAGAAATTGAGGCACAGAGAAGGTGAGCCACTTTTAGGTAAGAGTCGAATTGAAGTGGGTCTTCTGACAGTTGGTTGACATTCTTGTCCTCTCCACAAGGCCTACAAGTAACCAAAACATACCTGAGAGAGAAAAGCTGATCAGCCTCCGACCTCCTTGTCCCTGAACAGTCTCATAAGAGCCAACAACTTTAAAAATCTGTAAGAAGAAAATTAAAAACAAGCATTGAAATACATATACTCCAACACAAACATGCTTTATTATGGTTATTTTTTCTTTTTTTTTAATTTTTATTTTATTGATTATGCCATTAGTTGTTCTATTCCCCTCCCTTCATTTCCCTCCACCCTGCACCCTCCCACCCCTACCATTCCCCCCCTTTAGTTTATGACCATGTGTCTCAAGTTCTTTGGATTCATTATTTCCCATACTATTCTTGCCCTCCCCCTATCTATTTTCTACCTACCATCTATGCTACTTTTTTTCTGTACCTTCTTCCCCCTTCTCCTCCCACTCCCCTGTTGCTAACCCTCCATGAGATCTTCATTTCTATGGTTCTGCTGCTGATCTAGCTGTCCTTTTAGCTTGCTTTTGTTTTAGATGTGGTTGTTAGTAACTGTGAGTTTGCTGTCCTTTCGCTATTCATATTTTTTATTTTTTCAATTACAATCTATGAAGAGCAGCACTGTGATTTTATTAGGCTATTTTTGATTAAAACAAGCTTCTAGCAACCTAATACCTTTTTCTAGTAATAGAGTGGAAAATGTATGGATAAGGCATACTTTCCAGAGAAATTTAAATCAACAAATAAAATTACTGTAATATTAGAGGCCCTTTGTGACTACTTATGTGAAAAATGACATTTTACATTCAAATTTGCAAAAAAAAGTGTTTATTAAAGCAGACCTTAAGGGAGTAGAATCATTGTCAATTGATGTTTACTGTTGTAATTATAATTTGTTTTCCTTTAGAAAAGTATACTGTTAAACTGTTGTATCTCCTAACGTAAATAGTGGGCTGGCTGCTATTGAATGTGTTGTGCAATTGCACTGCCAAACAGTTGGCTGAAGTGAAAGTAAGGCAGTGAGGTGAGCTGAAGTTGGAGAGGGATATGAGATTGACTCAAGCTGACTATAAAGAAGCCTTAAGATAACAGCTATAGCATACCAGCAAAAAGCCACAGGATCCAGCTTGTTGTTTTCTGTATGTTCTTGTGCATAAGCTTACTAGGGCTAGGTTGAGGATGTTCATAGCCCAGTCAGACTGGAATCCCTATAAGTGGGATCCTATGGCAGAAAGCGAAACAAACTTAGATGAGGAGGTAGAGATTAGAGGGAGGCAGTCTTGCTGCTCAGCCAGTCATTATCTAGATGCTGAAAACACAGCAGGAGAAGCCTGACAGGCAGGATCCAGCCCTCCTGTCACTGCCCTTAAAGTACTTGCACACATGGGCTTGGCTATAAACTTCCACAGAGCTTGCATATCTGGCAAATTTTGAAGAGAGGGGATCTGAGTCAATTGCAAAAGTGGCTACTACAGCTCTGGGACACAGACACTGATGGTATTGTGCTGTCTGGAGATAAACTGACCCCATTGACATCTATTACTACACAACCCTCGCTATGGCTGTGCATTCATGGGACCATGCAATGTAGTGAAAATGCCTCCCTGTTCTCCTGGCTTAAGGTAGGCTGCTGCACTGCCCAGCCCAATGAGGGAGACCTCCTTGAGGCACAGCTGTGCTGAACCTCCATGCACAAGTTACGAGCATTCCTCTGGGAAATGGGAATATGCCAGACCACTCATGTGGATAGGTTTATGGACCTGGAACAGTCTCATTCACTGCTGGGATCCACAATTGTATCATCCAGACTGCAACTCCCACCTATTGTGGAACTTTAGTACCTGTTCTATCTACTCTGGTAGGCAAGCCAGTCCAATGAGCAGCCTAAACTATAGCATATTTGGGGGAGGTGGAATTGTCAAGGCAGTGTAAGGGGGTATGGGAAGTCCAAAAGGAAAACACTCCTGAAGGGTTTACAATCAAAACTGAGGAGAAAGACAAACCAGTGAGAGTAACCCATAAACAGTGGTGGATATGTTTGACCACTGCAGGGGAGGATTCCAGAAAAATGCATAAGCAACTTATTCAGGTTCTGTGGCAACAGCTGAAACCACATCAACATTGTCAACCCCTGCCTGAGGAAAAACTGAAGGTTCGACTTCCTCTTTCTCAGGCAATGGACTTTCTCTTCCCAGGGGGCCCAATAGGGAAGAGAGCAACTTCTCTGACACCTCCCTTGCCTTTGTTGGCTAATTTCATGGGCTCACACCAGGGCAAGGGGTCAGAGGTATGCCTCCCTTCAGCCCATCCAGAAGACGATCCATGGGGTGGCTTGTATGGCTAGGGGAAAGGCCAAGGTCCCTGGTGGGTGAGGTACTTGACTTCCAGGGACCAGAAGGTACATGTGGAAATAGCTATTTACTGGTTCCCCTACAATATGAAACACAATGGCCCTCATTGACACAGGGGTTCAGTGTACCCTTATTTACAGTAACCCAAAACGATTCTCAGGATCCCTCTTCACCATCAGTGGGTATGAAGGTCAATTTGTCAGGGTACATGTGGTCACCTTAACTATGGCAACTGGCTCTCTGAATCCACAGCCTTATTCAGTCTATATCTCCCCCATCCCTGAATATATCTTAGAGGTTGACATCCTTTTGGGGCTGTGGCTATAGACAGCTGTAGGCAAATTTTGCCTGTGGGTCCCAGTGGTCAAGGCAGTTCTGTGAGGGCATGTCAAACATTCGCTGTACAATTACCTGTGTCTCGGTGGGTAGTGAGGCAATACAAGCTGCCAGGGGGGACAACTAGAAAATTGGGGAAACTATCCAACAGCTAACAAAAGTAGGCATCATTCATCCCGCACACAGCCTCTTCAACATTTAAGTGTGGCCCATTTGGAAACCTGATAGCACCTAGAGGATGATGGTAGGCTATGGGGAGTTGAACAAAGTAATTCCCCCTCTTTATGCTGCAGTGCCCAACATTGCAGACCTCCTAGACATCTTGAGCCATGAGTTATGCACTTCTGCGTGGAATGGGCCCAGACAGGACCCACACCCATGGATAGGTTCTCCCATGGGGAATTGGGCCTACAATGTACCTAGGCCACTTTGAGACTTGCTTTTGCTAAAACTCCCTCACCCTGAATTGAGACAGAAAGTGCTTACTGTAACTTGCTAAAATCCATGCTAATACTTCCCAGTATGGAGTGTAACCAGTTCAACCACTTTTCCTTCTGCATTTGCAAATATCCTTCTGTGATGTGATTAGTGGCATTGCTTCCTTTATTTTCTGTAAAAGGTAACCACCTAAAGTGAACCTGTGCATAATAAATGAGTACCATCAGGTAATGTGCCCAGAAAAACAATAAAGTCTTGTCAAGGCAAAGGCCAAGGCTTTTTCTCCTCTCTCGAGAGAAGCCATACCATCCCTTTTCCTCCACAGGACTTGGTAGTCTGTGTAAATTTCTCATGCCTCATCCACAATATGGAGGACCCCACAAGCCAGGGTCCACGTCATGCCAATGCCCTTTTCTCTATTCATATCTATCTAGATTGCCAGCTTTTCACTTGGAAGAGCTGGAAGTGAACATTCGCCATCCTATTGACTGGGTGGTGAATGTTCCCACCCATGCAATAGGTGGGAACAGATCCACCATTTGCCATGGCTTGTGGCAGAGGACTTGGTATCCTGACACCACCCAGAAACCAGAAACTGATTTTATTACATTGATAATATCATGTTAACCTCTGATTTTCATCCAGATTTATAGAAGACTACCCCACTCCTGGTGCCTCATCTACAGGAGCAAGGATGGCCAGTCAGGTCAACAAATTGCAGGGACCAGGTTTCTCTGCCAAATTCTTGGAGGTTGTCTGATGAGGTAAGACAAAAGTCATGCTTTCATTGGTGGTGGACAAAATACAAGAATTTTCCTGCCCAGCAACCCCATAGCAATTGCAGGAGTTTCTTGGGATATTAACAAGGATTTATTTCCCACATAGCTCAGCTGCTGTGCATACCCCTATGGTTAATCTGGAAATGAGCTGCCTGGGAATCTAAGGAGGGACATACAGCAAGAAGCCTTCATGACTGCTACAAAGCAGTAGCCACTGTACAAGTCTTGGGGGGTCTTAGATCAGACCCAGCCTTGTGAACTGGATGTTAATGTAACACAAGATGGCTATCCATGGAGGTTCTGTCAATGACCAGAGAAGACCCAGGTCCCCATAAATTTCTAGTCACAGCTATGGAAAAAGGCCAAGGAAAATGTAGAATCCCAATGGGTAACTCAATGGACAACTCAATTTAGCAGCTGAATTGCTAATGGGGCCTGCGATGGTCATAGTCTGGACCTCCTATGCCATAGCAGGATGTAGACACAACATGACAACATGGTCACACAATTCAGCATAAACATACACCATCTCCAGATGGAATACCAATCTGTTACAACACAGTTTGCTCTCCAGAAGCCCTGAGTCATGAACTGCAACAACTGTTGGGACCTTAACATATTCTGCTGACCATGGGGTAGCCCTGACTAAGTCACCCCTACTGACATCCCCGTTAAGGTGAGCCATCAGCCAATCCCCAAGGATGCCTTGTGTACAAGATGGCTCCTGCAAAGGACCACTGGCATATTGGAGAGCTGTGGCCTACCAACCACAAACTGACAGTATCTGGACAGAAGACGGACTGAGTCACAGCAGCCAATGGGCTGACCTATGTACCATCTGGATTGTCATTTCCCAAGAACGTGGGCTTTTAACCATCTGTACAAACAGTTGGGCAGTTTTCTATAGGTCAACACTTTGGCTGCCTCAGTGGGAACAACAGAGGACAATAATGGAAAAACTCCTCTGGGGACAGGAAATGTGGAGAGACATATATCTCCACAGCAAGGAGGATATCACACTTCATAATGTCTCTGGTCACTCCCTCTTGAAGTGTCCTGGGAATGATGAAGCAGACACATTAGTGCACATCTACTGGCTGGAAGAAGCCCCAGAAGATGGTTGATTGGCTGCATCTCAAGTTGAAACATGCAGGACAAACCAAAAGACTTAATGGGAAGTGGACAAAACTCGGGGGCTGCTACTGAGCTATGCTGATATCATCATTGCCT